ACGTGGTCTTTCAATCCCTCCCGACCCCTCTTCACAGGTGACAAACTCACCCCCGGAGATGCTTTGTAAGGTGCCCACGGCCACGCAGTGACCCAGCGATGAGCTGGGACTTGAACTTGGGCCCTTGACAGCGCCATCTCAGACCTCAGCATGGCGCCCCTCGGCCCACACAGGGATAGCACTGTCTCCAGGGACCCTGGCAGACGGGCCCAGACAACAAGCAGAGAGCTCGGTGCCCACAAAACTAGACAGCCCCCGTTTGTCCCCAGGGAACCGGGGGGGCCCAGTCACCCACTGCTGTCGCCTCCCTCCCCACCCCACCCCCCAGTATGCCCAGGGCTGAGGTCACTTGGCCTCCGGCCCAGCACCGGGCTCCTGAAGGGGCCCGTTGGCTTTGAAGTGTCGGTGACAAGAGCAGATAGTGTCAATGGAAAAGGAAACAAAACCCTCTTCTTTGTGCCCAACAGGACATGAAACCCTGGGCAGGGGAGAAATGGGGGATGGAACAGAGTCTTCTTTGATAGCCAGAGCAGGAAGCCTGGGTGGGGAGAGCCAATAGAAGGGGCCAGGGAAGATGGATGAGCCGCAGCCATGGCAAGAGCGGGGTTCACATGAAGGAGTGCAGGAAGGGAGGAAGATGGCGTCATCGAAATAAATCTCAGCAAAGTAATGAGACGGAGACCCCAGGAAAGTAGGGACTGGCCAGAAGGCGGGGTGGCGAGGAGACAGCCGAGGTGGAAGCAAGGGCGGTGAACATGGAGGCCTTGGGCTGGACTTGTGCAGCCTGTAGCAGACCCCTTTCATTTGCCTTGGAATAAGATGTCCACCTTCCGGGGCATCTGAGGGGACCCACAGTCCTTATCATTTCTCTACCGGCAAATGTGCCTGCAGATAAAATTTAAGGTGGGGTAAGAGGCTCCCTGAGGCCCAGCTGAAGCCCTTCAAGGACACCCAGCCAGCTCTACATGGCAGTTAGTAGCTTGTGGGACAGCTCTGGGAGACCAGTACTGTCTTCTCACAATACTCAGAACAAAAGCCAAAGTCCTCATCCGGGTTTGAAAAACTGCACAGGATCCATAGCTGAAATACAGCAAGTATCCACTCCTGCCCCAGGGCCTTTGCACTTGCTGCCCCTCTGCCTGGAACACCATTCCCTGCCCCTTCATCGCCTACAGTTCTCTACCTACCTCCCTAAATAGCATCTTTTCTTGCTCTCAGCACCCTCCCAACTCGAACACCTAGCCCATTATATTACATCTCTATTTATATAGTCGGTTCATTTCCTGTCACCTGCTTTAGAAGGTACATTGCAAGAAGGCTGCATCTGTTTTGTCACCTTCTGCATTGCCAACACCTAGAAGTGTGTCTAGCACATGGCAATCCCTCGATAAAAATATTTGCTGAATGAATGAATAATGCTAATTCACTCTTCTCTGTTGTCCAACAGGAGGCAGATGTCGCCGTTTACAAATTGAGTTAAATTCCCTGGAAACAGAGATCTGCTTTGGGGGCTGTTTTCCCATGTAAACAATAAGCGAGTAAACACAAAGCAGCTGCTTGGTCCCTCCTGTGTGTGCAGCCCTGTCCGTCTGGCTAAGGACAGGAACAAGCGAAGGAGAGGATCAGTCTTTGCTCTTCGGGGTCTGAGGGCCTGGGAGCGCGGGCGACTCTCTTGAGCCATGTCCAGAGCCTGAGGGGCAGCTAGAGCTTGAGGGCCTCAGGCCTTTACGAACGGGCCTTCCTCCTCCTCGGGTTCCCTACAGACCGGGCCAGACCGAATGGGGTTCTCTCTCAGGGGACTGTCACTGTGACCCAGGAATCTGGAGAGAGGACGCGCTAGATATGGCTTCAGACAAGCGGGCAGTCAACTCAAATCAAGAAGCCCCATCCTCACAGTCCCCCAGGCTCTGGCCACAAGGACGGACAGGCCCGGGTCCTCCTGGGTAGACACCTGTCTCTCTGGGCCTGGAGTTCGTCATTGTTCTTCTCTGAGATGGGGCAGGGTCCCCACCTGCAGCCTCTTCCCACCGCTTTCACCTCTGACCCTGCCAGGCTCTGGTCTCCAGAGTGAATCTGTGAGCACTTAACAGCCCCCGGCACGGAAATGAAGGAAGCAAAGGACCTGGCGGGAGCAGAGCGTGGCCGGGTCACACTCCTGCAGGAAGCATTCTCTTCCTTTCTCCACCTCCACCGCTCCTCACCGCGGAACCCAGCAGCCTTCTAAATCAGGCCAAGCCAGGCACTGGACTTGGAATTTTGTTTTGGGGGCAGAGACACCAAAAGCATCAGGGGCAGGAAATAACAGTGTTTGGCGTCTCTGGATTCTAATTCTGTCGTGGATGTTTTCCAGCTGTGGGACACCAGCCAAAGCACACAGCCTCTCCCAAGAGCAGACGTCCAGGAGATGCTAGGAGCCACCAGGGGTTGGAGTCGCAGGCCCCCTCCCCCTGGGCGTGGTGTCAGACACGCCAGAGTCCACCAGTCGGTGTCAGCACCTGTGTCTCCAGCCCCCCAGCGGCCACACCACCCGGTCATTGCTGGCCGCTGTGGGGAAGAGTGACAGCCATCACCCTGCCTTCTTCATTCCTCCTACTGGATTCCTCCTGGAGGCTGCAGCTGGCTGCCCAGTTTTCCAAGCCAGGCTAGAAAATGAGGGCTTAGCGACCCCTCTTGGCAAATGCAGGTTACAGCTGCTAGGTCAGAGGTGGGGTCCATAGGACCAAGACTTCCAGCTTTGGAATGCGGTGGAAAACGAGACTCTTCCTCTGGAAAAAAAATCTTCACTCTGCTTTCCACATTCCCCAGGTCCCTACAGTTGGTCAATTCCTTTATTTTCATCTTTGGCCACTAATCTATATGAGTTAGGAATGAGTATTCAACACACACAAACCAAGAACCCTGCTGTGCCTTGGAACTATGGCAGGTATAGACTAGGAAGTCCTCAGATCAGAGAGGGCCCAGGCCTTAGGAAGTGCAGTGTGTGATCCATCAACTGTCCGTCTGTCCCACCTACCCACTCCTTCGTTTACTCACTTGTTCCCAGATGTTAGTCAGGGTCCCATTACTGTAACATATACCTAAGGTAATCACCTTTATAAATAGGCAAGCTTTATTTTGGCTCATAGTTTCAGACCATGGTGGCTTGGGCCTGTTGCTTCTGCACATCATAGTTGGAGCGCACAGTGAGGCGGAAGTGCTCACTCCTTGACAACTGGGAACCCGAAAGGAGAAAGGAGACCCAGGCTCTAAAACACCCTTCCAGGGCGCCCCCTAATGACCTAAGGTGACCCACGAGGCCCGACCTCTTACACAGCAGCACTCAGGAACAAGCCTTAACACATGAGTGATTCAGGCACAATCCAGCTCCAAACGACAGCAATTATTGAGCTCCTCTATGGGCCAGACCCCCTTCTCTCCATGAAAACAGTAAGCAAAACAAGCCAGTGGTGGCGCTTGCTTGTAATCCCAGCACTCTGGATGCCAAGGCAGGAGGATCGCCATGAGTTCATGGTCAGCCTGGGTACATAGTGAGATCAGGACCAGCCTAAACTATGCATCGAGACTGTCTCAACACACACACACACACACACACACACACACACACACACAAATACAAGGACTTCTGTGCCACATTAAAGGAAGAGGATTCAGAAGTTGTAGATTGGTGGCTACAGGGATGAGATCGACTGGTAAAGCCGTTTTGCTTGCCAGGACTGTCTTGGTTTTCATCTGAACACACATAGGAGGAGACGGAGCATTGTCCTCAGCCTTCTTTGCCGCTTGCGCATCTGTGACTGTTGTGTCCTTGGAGGCATTGAATTTGCCACCTCTACAGTGGAGACATGAGGAAGCATCTTATGCAAAGGAAAGAAGTGGATGGACTTTCCCATCAGAAAACTTATCTTGCCCTCGGGGATTTTTTTCTTCATCTTGAGCTCCCCGGGGTATAACAGAGTGCTTGGTACCTAAGAGGTGCCCAGTGGGCTGTTTTCAGCTTCTTCCCCCGAGGCCTAGGGATTGAATCCAGGGCCTCACACATGCTAGGCAAGTGCTCTGCCACTGAGCCACATCCCCAGCTATTTAAGACTGTTATTTTGAGACCAGGTCTTGCTAAGTTGCTCAGGCTGCTCTTGACCTTGTGCGCCTCCTGCCCCAGCCTCCTGAATAGCTGGGATAACAGGTGTGTCCCACAATGCCTGGCCTCAGTTTTATTTTTAATGAATGAGAGACAAACAGCAGACGAGATGAGCTACTGGTGCAGGGCAGAATGGAGATATGCAAGGTCCTGATGCGGAATCTTTCTGAGGGGAGTCCAGAACTGCCTTACATGCTTGTTAGAAAATTCAGGTTCCTGGGCCCAACTATCTGCCCAGAGTCAGAGTCCTTAGCAGAGCTCAGGCACCTGCATTTCAAACAAGCATCCATTAAAGTCTGTGAACAGTCACACAGAGGTATTGTAGGACCAAGGCTGCTTTGGGCCTCACCTTTGTTTGGGGATCCTCAGGGAAATGACGGGGAGCTGCCCAGGCAGAGCTGAGAAGCCCACCCCGCACAGCATTAGGCAGCTCCTCCTGCCCTACCACGCTAGCATAGGACAGTACATCCTCCTGTGCGGAGAGGCAGATGGCATCACACTCTTCTTCAACAGGGAGAAAGGGGAGACCAGAAAGCCTGGGCAGGTATCAAGGCCACACAGGCAGGTGGGGCTGGGGGATGCGGACCCAGCCATCCTGGGGCTCTGTCTCCAGCTTGTCAAGTTGTCCCTCCTAGCCTGGATTAACCTACTTCAACCTGTGCTCCCCAGAAACAGGGAGAGATGAGAAGCTCATGTGCTTTCACTGGGGTTCCCTTGCCCCAGTAGTTGTCAGCATCAAGGAAGTAGTAGGATCACCTGCGGGGAGCCTTCTGCTAAGCACATGGGCCCAGGCCCCTGTTTCCTTCAAAGAACCTGGGCTCTAGAGTTTTATGAGCTCTCCGGGTGAAGCCATTTCTCTGAAAGGATGCAAAGAAAGTCGATTTTAGGCAATAGGAAGCTCCTGGGCAGATTCCCCCTGGAAGGGAAAAGGTGGATCTTATTAGCACTTTGTACTTAAAAGTGGAGTTTGCAGACCCAAGCACAAGATGAAAGCTTAGTGAACGGAGGAAGAGCAGGTCTCCGAGCCCCAAAGACTAAGGACAGTTTCAGCACGCGTAAGGATTCTAGGCTGAAGGGCTGAGTATGGATAGCAACCAGGGTAAGTATGGGCCAAGCATTACCTGGGACTCCTGATGTTCCCATGGGATGTGGGCACCAATGGACTTAGGGAACTGATGGAGCCCCAAAAAGAAAGCCAGGCTTTCCAGGAAGAGGCCTCTAAGGGTCATAGTTCAAAGACAGTGGGATTGGGGGTTGGAAGATTTGGGTTTAAAGCCTATCAAACAGATACCTGTGAGGTCTTGTACAATCCATGTCATTCTCTGAGCCTGTGGTTTCTCATCAGTAGAGTGAAGCTAATGGCTCTTAGGGCTGTTCTAAAGGTTAGACTTAATCATTCCCGACTAGTTCAGTTTCTTTCTCCGCAGTGTGTTCCCAGTAGTAGAGTGGAAGTCTTTGTGTGATTATTGATACAAGGCGCAGACCCTCGGTTGAGGCTGGGTGCAGCAGCATCCTGTGGCTTCAACTGGCCTTCGCTCCACTTCTCTGGCCAGGGTCTTCATTCCTGACCCAACTCTTCACAGATTTGGTGACATCCTTGCAGTTGACCCCTCCTACTTGATAACAGTGTTACTCACCTGTGTGCAGGGCACTGCTGAGGATGTAATGACAAAGGCTGACTGGGCAGGTACTGCGTATGTTCAATGTCTTTAAGGAAAAGGGTTGCTAGGGAACATCTCAAATGAACGGGAACATCTCAGACAGTAACACTGGGCAGAGTGTTCACTGTCTTGAATTGCTGGAGCCATAAACCCATGGAATAAGCAATGAAGTTTTATACATGTAGGAGGGATGTTATTAGTAATTGGAATTGTAACTTCTGCTGGAAAAGGCATAAATCTAGATCTTTAGAAGGGTCTTGTTTATCTGGTGATGTTGGGCTTAAAAATGAGATGCAGCTATACCTCCTGGATTCTTGTTATCTAATTGTGTTGATTCTTTGATGCTTTAAGATGAGCTTTCATGGTCTTATCTGATATTTTGGCAAGTGTCCAGAAATATCAATCTAAAGAGTCCGAAGCTCTCCAAGTAGAGGCTAGAAATGAAGATTCTCAGGTCTTATCCAGACACCAGAACCGAACTCCAAACTCCAGGGGTTTGGGCTTCACCTGTGGCCTAACAAGTCTTTCGGGGAATCCTGATGGATTTCAAGTTTGATGAGCATGTACTGAGGCTGTAGTTACTAGTGATGGGTGCTTAAGGCAGCTGTTAGAGATACTAGCCAGAGGCATTTACAGGAATCCAGGTGAGACAGGAGAATGGCGGGACCAGCTGTCTGTTACGGCTGCTCCAAGGGGGAAAAAGTAAAAGTAAAGGATAATGTTCTAGAACAGGGGTTGGCAAACCTTTTCTGTAGCGGACCAGAGAGTAAATAGCTGAAGCTCTGAGGGCCATAGGGTCTCTGTCACAACTATTCAACTCTGCCATTTGCAAAAGTAGCCCTAATCAATATGTAAACATGGTTGTGGAACAACAAAACTTTATAAGCACGTAACAGGCCAGATTGGACAGTTGGGCAGTAGTTTACAGACCTGTTTTAGCAGAATGATTTACTCAAGGCTGATGTTATTTAACAGCAGAATCTTTTTCTCTTATTTAGAATTTAACAAAGTGGGCTCTGGTTGCAGCCCAGAGTGGAGAACCCAGAAACTACCTGTTCATTTCCTCCTTTCCTTACCGTGGACCCTAAGACTCTTCCTCAGAACACACTCCACTGCCAGTTAAGGAGAAGGCAGTGGTGTCTGGGGCTGGGCCACTCAGGCCTTGCCGTTGAATGAGTAGGTAACTTCCTGAACCACTGTGTGCCCAAAGCCAAGGAGGACCCGGTGCCAAGCAGTCACTGAGGGTCAGGAAGTCTCCTTTGTTCCAGTGCATGGACTCTCTCTCTCTCTCTCTCTCTCTCTCTCTCTAGGTTTCAGCAAGCCTTCTGAGGCTCAGGCTGGTACAGGTACCGGGGATACGAGCCAGGCCCCATTGGTTATGCAGCGTGACCAGCCAGGTGCCCAGCAGAGTGATTCTGAAGCTACGTTTCTTAGCCAGACCCTGTCCAACCGTGGGGTTAAGATCTCTACATTTTACTACTCCAACTTCCAGGACTACGAGGCCTACCAAGGAGACAGATACCACACCGTCCTGAACTCCTTGGTAAGAACTGGGGCACAGAAAGCCTACCCAGTCCCTGGGATGTTTTGAGTTCTGTGCCACGTACCCCAAGAAATGGGCACTGTTGTCTTAGTAAGGGTACAGTCACAGGATTAAGAGGACTTGTCCCCAGACAGATGGAGAACTGGAGCCTGGGTTGCTAACTGTTCCCCTCACCACACATCTTTCCTTAAATCTCAGCTCTTAAGTACTAGGAGACAGGAACTGTGGTGGAGAGGGAAGTGAACCGCCCGTATGGAACAGAGTATGGTGATGAATGTAGTTGGCCATTAGGGAAGCAAACATGAATCATGTGTCCAAGAGCACTAGAGGAATGTCCACTTCTGGTGGTCTGGAAAGGTGTCTTAAATACTGAACCAGCCAGCCAATGGAGGCAGGGGGTGGTGGGGTGATCCCCCAGAAAGGAGGGGCAGCATTTGTGGAAGCTGTAAGTGGAGATAAGAGTGAGTAATGGGAGAGAAGCCCCTATGGTGAGAATAGACACATTGGGTGCTGTGGTAAAGGCAGGCAGAAGTGGACAGGAGGTGTTAAAACACAATCTGAGGGTGACAGGGAGCTGACAACAGGTTCCCACCAAGGAGGGTCAGAGCAGCTCTCCAGCCAGAGGAGAGAGGACAGTACCAGCCATGCCGTGCCTTCCCTCTATTGCCATCTAAGAGGCCAACGAGCATCTGCTTTCCTGGGGCTGGGTCAAGTGTTCACCTCCCATTGGAGGAGAAGCAGCATCTCCTCCAAAAGCTTGGAGGTCCCTTAGTTGTAATAGCAGAGATGTGTACAGGGAGAGCCCATGGTGGTTCAGGGTCCAGGTTCTGGATCAGGCAGGTAGAGTGCTGCCCATCACCCAAGGTCACATGGTTGCTAGGTTATGCAACTTTTCTCTCCTTCACTCTTTAATCAGGGATTATATAGAACCCTTTCTCAGGAATTAACTCACAGAAAGTACTTAGTCTGGCATCTGGGGGATACCGGAAATGGGGCATAATTCAACAATTAGTTATCCATGTGGCTCTAAAGGGGGAAATTTACAAGCTTTAAGATTTTGGGTTCTTGGAAACATGGATTGCGTTGACTCATGGGGCAGTGAAATCTCAACTGATCTAAGGTGCATACTCAACTGGCATCTCTGCAGGGGCCCTTGTGGGGGTGGTATAAGAGGACCAATCTCAAATTCCTTCCACTCCAGGGCTTCCTTAACCTTGGCATCAGTGAGAACAGGCTGTGTGTTGATTTGATGACTGAAAGGGTAAGTTTTGTCCTGGGCTGTACTGGGACCCACCCTTCAGGGACCAGTCCCCTAGCATAACCCTCTGCATGTGCTAGACAGGAGCAGAACGTGGGAGTTTGGGAAAGGGAGTGGAAAAATGGCTCTGAGAATAGCACAGGTCACCTCCTGCCCTTGCTGACTCTGACCAGAGGTGTTCTCTGGTAGGAACCCAGTGGGTGGGCTGCTAAGGGAGCTGTGGGTTGGGGAGGTTGTTGAGCACTTGCCAGTGAGGTGTCTGTGGGATGGTTAAAGACAAGATGGGGGCCTCCGCTCAGCAGGGAAAAGGCAGAGAACACGCCACTTTCCTCTGGGCAGAGCACACGTTCACACAGGGAGCAGGACGGGCTTCCCCAGTCTGGCTCTCCTCATGCTCTGTTTGTCAACAGTTGTGTCAGAATGACATGAACTACATCGAGGAGCCCCTGCTGCAGTACCCCGACTGGAGAGGACATCCATTGTAAGTGACCTCCAGATCCAGAATCTTCTGGTCCCACAGCAAGGGAAGGATTCAATGCACCATATTCTTAGTTGGCTGCCTCCCTGTTCCTTTGGGTAACCTCCCAGGAAATGAGAGCAAAGCCTCACCGGGCAGCCTGATCGGTAGAAATAGCATCGTCCTATAATTCAAGAGCTTGAGTTCTTGTCCCAGAAATTGTCTGTGTGACCTGAGGAGTTGACACCTTCATTTTATAGCCATATAAAAAGTTGGACTGGGTAGCAAAAATCCCTCTTAGGGTGAACACTAGTCCCTTTGAAAAAGGCTGATGTGTAAACCCTCAGTGAAGAGGGGGAACTGGGAACCACAAGTGTCTCTCTGCATCTGTCCACAGCCTGCGGGCAGAAGTGGCCAAGTTCTTGAGCTACTACTGTGGATCACCTATCCGCCTGAATCTGAGAAATGTGAGTCAGGCTGGTGGAGGGGTGTGTTTCTGGGGTACCCTGTGCATAGTCCAGGAAAAGTGAGGAGATGCAGGAGAGACCCTCAGGACCAGGGCAGAGTTACAGCCAATCGAGCCCAGCTGAGCAGTCTCCTGGTGTCTGTCCCTGCCAGGGGGAGGGAGAGAGTGTGGCCACACCCTCTGTCATGGGTACTGGTTTTTGATGTCTGCCTTTTGTGCATGTCTTCAGGTGGTTCTTCTAAACAGCTGCTGTGCTGTCTTCTCTGCACTGGCCATGGTTCTGTGTGACCCAGAGGGTAAGTAAGCAAGAACACCTAAGCACTGGGCCTCGGGGAAGAAGAACATCTTCACTCAAAGCACTGGCACTTCTACACTGACTAGGACTTTTTTATTGATGAAAATTGATTTGGATTCCTCACTTAATATGGAAGAGACACATGGCAGTGCTTAAGCAGTGATGGCAGTGGGAGCAAAATCATCCTGTTAATAGCTAAGCTCTTGGGCTCAACTGCAGTATGGATGGCTCTGGTAACCAGCCTGGACTTTACAGATCTCCCACCATCTCCCTAATCCTCCAAAGGCTAACCAGTTCTGGACCAGATAAGGTTGAAAGGTCCGTTCTCCCTCTCCTTCTGAACAATGCCCAAGCAAGAGTCTCAGATCTTAATGAGCTCTGGTTGCATGGAAGGAAGTGGCCAAGATGAAAGGAGTGGGTTCTTGGTTGGCCCATCAGTGAGGCCAGAGGGATGGGAAGAAAAGAACATGAGGTCACCAGGTCCAAATGACAGGTCTCTTCCTGTGCATGAACCTTGACCTCTAGTGTTTGACCTGGAGCAGGTCAGACTTCCCTAATGACCAGCACTCCTGTCTGCTGCTACCCTAGCTTGCCTTGGGCCCTGATTCATTGGCATTCATAATACTTTCCTCTTCTTTCTCAGTATGCCCCATAAGAGCAAATTAGTTTCATTTCCCAAATGGTGTTTGCAAGAGTAGACAATTTTTATGGAGCCTAAGCCCAAGAACATTAATCCCCAGAGAGAAGAGATTGCTGAAGTGAACTTTTCTGGTGGTAGCTTTGCTGCTAGTTTGGGGTTGGGGGCGGCTGGCAGGTTCTGAGAGAGCAAGAACTAATGGCTTCATCTCCCTGTGCTTCCAGATGCTGTTCTGGTCCCTACTCCCTTCCATAGTGGCTTCCTCTTTAGCGCCCAGATGTATACACAAGTTGAACTGATTCCCGTCCACGTCGGCAGTGAGGTCAGAATGAGCCCCTTCCCTGCTCAGCTCCCCTAAAAAATGGGCTGTTCCAGTGGGCACTGAGAAGGCACAGAGGGCCTGGCTCTCTTCCTGTGTAAGGGTGGAGGAGGAAGGGTAGAGGAATCAGGCTGAAGAAGCCTTGTGGTTCAGCACCCGGGTATGAAGGCCAAGGATTGCCTGGGCTTTGTAGGAAAGAATTTAGGCTCCGAAGCTTTTCCCATGGGCATTTATGAGTAGACTCTCTCTTCCAGATCACTAATACAAACACCCAGCCTTTTGAGCTCATGATAGGCAAACTAGAGCAAGCCCTGCTTGAAGCTAAGACTAAGGTAAGGAGGGAACCATATTTCCAGGGTGGCCCTGAAAGGGCTTGAGTACTGAGACTCTGATAGAACTGCTCACCCCAACTTGATGGGCTGTCTGTAGTCAGAAGTAAAACTCCTGGGTCTCATCTGGGCCATGGCAGCTTGCACAGCGACTTCTGGCTCCTCCCCTCAGGCAGTATGGTAATTGATTGCTTTGGTCTTATTCAATGTCCTGTATTGGAATCTGATCCCTGAAGGATTCTTGGTTGAACTTGGGGTAGAGGTGAAGGACTTGTGTTCATTCTTGTGTTTGGGTTCTTCTTAGAATAAAAAAGTCAAAGGCCTCTTGCTAGCCAACCCTCAGAATCCTCTGGGCGAGGTCAACATGAAGGAGTCATTGAAAGAATACCTGAAATTTGCCAAAAGGTAGGAGTAGTTCTATCCCTCAAGACTGGATGATGTCCCAAAAAGGGGTTCCCTTCACCTGTAGTCAAGAAATTGGAGGTAATTTACCCTAAATATTCCTACCGTACTGTCTGCTTTGTGGAGTTGTATACTCCCAAGCGAAACTAAAATGAAGCACCCACGTGCATACCATTTCTTTCCTAGCCTCCTCCCTCGCACAGACATTTGCATAGCAGTCATAACATAGTCTTGCTGCTTTTCTACTTACACAGCAAAAGCACTTTCCCCAGCATCCATTTCCCAAACTACTTGGGCTGCGGAGCGAGGGGAGACAGACAGACCCTCAGACCTTGTGAAGTGAAGATGTGCTCCAGTGTAGCTTTCACAGCCCGTGCCTGAGGACACCGTAATACTGTTAGCTCCAGAGCCCTAAAATAGCCCCAGTAGGCAGATTATCTTCTGTTCTCTAGAAGTAACTTATTCAAACTTTAAGACTAACCCACACCAATTAATGGCAGAGAATAGAAACAGTATTAGAGGCTGTGGGCAAGAATTCAACAGAGCTGAGTTCAAACACCAGCCCTCATACCTGCTAGTTAAGGGAGATAACTTTATACCTTGCAGCATTACTTTTCATTTTGTCTGTGAGAGGGGGGTGAAAGGAATGTTTTGGAGGATTGTAGGGAGAGGAGACAAGATGATCCATGTACTGCATAGCCTACTTGGTGCTACTGCTCGATTCAGACCATGGGTAGGAACTTCCAGCTGTACGAGATTAAAATACTCCAGAACTCACCTCCTCACTGGTCTCTGCTTGATGGTTGAAAGTGTAGATATGTGCTCCTGTGTGTCTTTGGGTCCTTCCTACTCCCTCTCAGTATGGCCAGCCTGGGCTCAAGGTCCCTTCTGATCTATCACCTCCTTCTACCCTACCCCTTGGAAGGGCTGGGTGGGCTGCTGGGCTCCAGGAAAATCTGCTCTATATCCAAAGAACATGAATGAGAATGAGTTAAGATTGCCAAGAGAAGCTGCATCTTGTTCTCCTTCCACCCAACTACAGAAATGAACTGCATGTGATCATAGACGAAACATACATGCTGTCCGTGTTTGACGAAACCATCATATTCCACAGTGTTCTGAGCTTAGAAAGGTGAGTGTTTCAGCTGGAGTAGGGAGCGAGCAACATGAGGACCCTGCTTTGCAGGCAGAGTTAATGGGCCTACAACTTACCTGGTTACACGCTAGGGCGTTAAGCGCCAGCTGGGGTTGCAGACGTGCGCAAAGTGTCTTCAGTCTAAATGCCCTCCTGTGTATAAGCTAACTTGAAGGGAAGGCAGCAAGTACACTGTTAAAGATCAAGATAAAGCCCACAGCAGGTTAAGGAACACAGGAAAGAACAGAGCAAGGCAGAACCATCTTTGCTGTGCATGTCTTTTTTGTAATACTGGAGATTGAGACTAGGGATGTTCTACCCACTAGGGGTGTACGTGAGCTACACCTCCAGCCCTTTAAAAAGCTTTTGAAAAAAGCTTTGAGATAGAGACTTACTAAATTGCCTTGAATTTGCATTCCTCCTCAGCCTCTGGACTAACTGGAATTACAGGCATGGACCACTGTACTCTCTGTGCAGAACTTTCTGAAGGGTGGTATTTGACCCTTGGGATAGGATTCCAGCAAAGCAAGGGAAGGGTGTACCGTGTACCGGGTGGAAGGAAGAGCTTCGCCAAAGGTGGGGCAGTAAGACCTAGACAAGCCCATTCCAGAAATGGGGGGCACACTGCAGGGTGTAGCTGCCGAGAACGTGCTTTGGGCTGAGGGCAGGGTAGCCAGTCTGGCAGAGACTCTGGGTCTCACTCTGTGGGCACTTGGGAGCTGTTCCGTCTACTTTCTCAGGGAGACCTTTTGGAACTGTTTTTTTGGTTTTTGGTTTTTTTGGTACCGGGGATCAAACTCGGGACCTTGCGCTTTCCAGGCAGGCGGCCGCACCACTGAGCTAAATCCCCCGGCCCTGGAACTGTTTCTTGAACTTAGTCCCTGCTGTTGAAAGGCCTCGAGTCTACTTTCCCCCTTTCCACTCACAGACACTCGAGTCTCCATCCTTCAAACACTTCTCTGTAATTTCGATTTTCCATTTTCTCTCCAGTTTGCCTGACCCCAACAGGACCCATGTGATCTGGGGCAGTAAGGTAAGGCCCTGCTGGCAGTCCTTGAGTCTGGAAGGAAGGGGAGCCAGGAAGCCAGAAGGCAAACAAGTCCGTTGCTCCTGCTGCTCCTCTTCCTCTAGGATTTTGGCATCACTGGCTTCCGCTTCGGCATTCTGTACACCCACAACGATGACGTGGTCTCTGCTATGACCCCCTTTGGCTACCTCCACAGTGTCTCTGGCATCACCCAGTACAAGCTGCGTCGCCTGCTCGGGGACAGAGGTACCGACGGCATCCTAGGGCAGCATCAGGGGTGTAGAGAATTCCTGGATGTTTTGGGCTTCTGAGGTGCCCTCAATATGCAGAGACGCCTTGTCACTGTCAGGCTTAACCATGGCAGGATGTGAGTTTTAAAGGAGGGCAGGATGGTGCTCAGAAAGTGCAGTAGCCATGGAGGGAAGATGGAGGTGCTATCCCTATCCTAAACTCAGGGTGGGCTTTCATCCTTGAGGTCCAGTAGCTTTTGCTCTGCCTGGAAAGGAGGTAGTCAATTGTAATGGAAGACCTGAAGGCAAGAACTTCAGCAATAATAAATCTTTATGTGAATGTCTATTTTACTGCCCTAGTACTCTGCTTGCCTCAGGCAGAGCTTACAAAGAAACGTCCTGACTGTTTTTACACAGCCTGGTCTCATTTTTCAAGGTGGCCGAAGGAGAACTGCCACTTGGGCAAGTTGGTGTGATTAGATCTATGGCACCTAGTTTGACCTTCCCCTTGGACCTCAAGTGAACATTGGCCTCAGATTGCTCTTCAGTGCCCTAGCCTAAGCTTAGAAAATGCCCTGTTATTTCCTGTAATAAAACAGATGCCAGGATAGAAGGCTTAAATGAAGAGCTGGTATATAATGAAATAAACTAATGTCCTTAGATTGGCAGGTATAGAAAACTTGCTTTCAGTTCTGGTAGATAGGTTAAATCCAACTGGATGCATCCCTACATGGTGCCAGCCTCTTTGATATTTATCAGAAACCAGATCCCAGTGCCCTTTAACACAAGGTCTTACCCTTAGATGTACCTGGGAATTACTAGGAGCTTAAATATGATTGTGGGCACCATCCCCAAAGATTCTGATTCACATGATCTAGAGGAATAACCTGGGCATCAAGGCTTCCAAAAGTTTCCCCAAGTGATTCTTTCATGTTGCCAATGCTGAGAACAACTAGGCTAAAATTATCTTGAACCTGGCTAGACTCCTCCAAGTTCATTATGTGAGGTTGAAAGGGAGGATGCAAGGGAAGATCTGAGTACCTGCTAATCTACCCAGCTGACCACAGCAATAGCAGTATCAATCCCCTCTGTGGAATGCTCTTTGCCTCAGAGGTCTAAACTTGAAGGGAACATTCCTTCTGGACCACTGAAAAGCCCAGCATCTCTCCAGAGCTATAGATAAGAGGTGGTGTGTTGGATGTGGATGCTAAAGCTCCACTACAAGACAGACTTAGTCCTGGATAGGAGGAGCTGGCAAGAAGCCCAGGCAAGAGCACTGGGAAGGAGCCCTCTGGCAAATCTGTCACCAGATCTAGGACCATTCTTTCCTCCACCCATCCAGACTGGATCAACAGAGTGTACCTGCCCATCAATCACTCCCGGCTCCAGGAGGCTTATGGGTATGTCATCAAGAGGCTGCATGAGTTGGAGGAGCAGTTTGGGTTCAAGATTACCTTTCGCAGCATTGGCTGTGGCCTTTATATCTGGATAAACTTGAAGAGGGTGAGCTCTAGGACTGAGGGCAGGTGTTCCTGGGCTGAGCTGCCAGTTGAGGCTCGGGCTCAGCTCTGTTCCTCTCCCTTCCTCAGTTACTGGAACCGTGTACATTTGAAGAAGAACTGGTCCTCCACCGCCGCTTCCTGGACCACAAGCTGATATTATCCCGTGGCAAATCTTACATGTTCAAGGAACCTGGCTGGTTTCGCCTCATGTTTGCAGAACATTCCCAGCGACTAAGAGAAGGTGGGTAGTGCTGACCTCCCAGTCCCAGCATCCTTTCAAGATGCCTCATCAACTGCTCCCTAGCTCAATTTCTAAGTATGCCTCTTTGAAAAAAATATTTTGCATTTAGCAACCTCTAGCTTTAACCCTTCTGAACCATGTTTCCATTTTCATTTTTAATTATGCTCCTTGTAAACAGAAAGTGATCTGTACCCCAGGTACCTACCCATTCATTATATTTTCTGGGTATGTGTTTTGTGCCTGTCACTGAACCAGGCACTGGGGCCAGAGTAAGTGGTAAGAAGTGGGACTTTGCCCTCATGGAGCTGGCCCTGTAGTGGATGAGTTGGCCACATAACCATGGAAGACCTTGTAATACTGCAGACTTCATCTTCTCTGGAAGTTATGGAGAACATGACTTTTTAAATATTTATTGCACCCCGTGACATGCCAGAAGTGTTGTATTTAATGGAAGTATAGCAGTGAGTCATTCACTTTCATGAAGATTTATGTTGCAGAAATAACTTTTGGTTTAATGTAGAAAACAGACTGAAGAGTTAAGAAGCAACAAGAGCCAGGGTACAGCCTTTGAGAGGAGATGATGAGATGTCTGGTAGGCTGACCTGAAGTTTAAAAGTTCAGGGATGTGACAGGTGGACCGAAAGTCTTCTCCCAAGGGTGGGCTAATGTTCAGCATCCCTAAACAGGCGGCTCTAATGGTCTGTGATGACCTGGGTATGTCTGGCTCCACTTGCAGACCCACTAAGTCTTTATTCCTCTTCATCCCCATTTGGACCCTATAGCCATGGATCGGTTTGGTCAGGCGATAGAGGAGCAGAAGCAATACTGGATACAGAAGATGCTGGAAGATGAAGTGACGTCATAGCCTGTCTGCCTCATCACATGCTCAGGGTTCCTGGTATCAGCCTCTGGTCCACAAGGCTGGGGCCTGAACCTGTGCTGCATCCACACAAGTGGACTCCTCTAGGGACGATACTGCCTGACTCGGTCATCAACCTCTTTAAGATGAGCATCTGTCATCTTTGGAAGCTTTGTGTCTTTTTAATCTTTGCTAGCCAGTGTGTATATAAAATGTTTTTATTGGGATTGGAGTGGAGGACATAGAGGTGCCTGGAGGGATCAAGGGAGCTCTCTGGGTCTCTTTTTAAATGACTATTTTTCTATTCAGTGTCTAATAAACTCTATATTTTCTTAAATTCCAGGCCTTGTAGTTCTTCTTTGCATTCTTCATAATCACCTTAGCAGGATGATTTTTCATTCCTTTTAAGTTCTAGACCAGGTTGACTGTGAAACATCTATCTGGGGCAGGCCAGGAAAGAAGTAACCCTGCCTGATGGAGCACTTTCTAAGTGCTGGGTGCTGAGTGTCGGGGACCCTCACAAGAACACATCTACCTTTCCCACAAGGACAGCACAGTGGGTAGTTCTGAAAATGAAATCCTTAGTATGGAATTCTCCATCAAATTGTAAGTCCATGAAAGCACTTGGGATTGTTTTTCTTTGTTTGGATCATCTAATGGATGTGAGCAGCTGTTTTCAGCTTTGAATTGTATCAAATCTGATGCAAGAAACAGACTGACAGACAACCCGAGTGCTGCATGTGTTGCTCTCAAACTAAAGTATGAGCCAAGGTTTGACAAATTATCAGCACGCACACAACAGCAAAGATCACATGAATGATGCAAAACCATGCCAAATGCAAACTTTTACCTTTCAATAAAAAGCTGTTAGTAACATTGAAAGCTGTTGTTTTTCTTTTAAAACAAAACATGGCCCCGCCCTACCGAGGTCGTGAGTCGCGGGGAACATGCCGAATCAACAATCCACTGGACAAACCTTCCCCCCACCCCCACCCCGCTCCTCTGTACAGCCACCTGGTTCCACACTACAAAGATGCAGAGGACACCGGACCACCAGACCACGGTACCGAGTCCCACTGCTCCCGGCCCAGAGGTAGGGGCTTCTGAGCCACCGTCCCACTGCTCCTGGTCCAGAGGAAGGGGCTTTTGGGCCACCATCCCTACCACTGCTCCCGGCCCCTGTCCCACCTTTCCCAGCTCAGAGGAGGTAATCTGTGCAGGCGCCAACAGCCCCCCACCCCAGTCGAAATAAAACAAAACATGTTAATGTAAGAGTTTTTTCTAAAATAAAACCTCAGTGATGAGGTTTAATTCCAGTGTTGGCACTCTGCGATAAATAAGTGGGATGTGGGTTGCAATCCGGGGACTCAGTCTCTAAAAGTTCCGCCATCACTGTTACAGATGATTAAAAAAGGTTTCAGTACCAACTAATGGCTTTGGTTAGTCACTTGGCTGTGTGACCATACTCTCTCCCGCGTGTCGAGGTTTGGTTCTTTTATTTTCCAATGACAATTTTATTCCATTAGCTTTTTAAAAAAGTTAACAGAAGCATACAAAGGAATTCTGATTCTTCAAGGTTTTCATATCAAAGTTCTTAGATATCAATCATGGCCCAGTGGGGACAGAATTCATTCACAGCTTGAGAAGCCTAGACACTCTGGGGTTCTCTGCAATGGAAGCTGTTTGTCTCATCAGCACTGGATGGGAGGAATCCGGTCTTCCACGGAAGGGAGAGGCTACATCTGCCTCTGTTCAACACAAGTCCAGAGGATAGAATGTGAAACCCAGTGTGGCCATGAAAATGACCATTTGATTTATGTTAAAAATGCATTAGTACATGTCTGCAGTACGTAATGATTATGTTCCTCATGTAAATAACACATCTCAACTTTTTATCCATCACCTTCCTCTCCCTCCTCCTTCCATCTCCTTTTTTTTGGAGGGGGTACCGGGGATCAAACTCGGGTCCTTGTGCTTGCGCAGCAGGTGATGAAACTACTGAGCTAAATCCCCGGCCTCCCTCCATCTCTCTCCATCTTCCCTTCCCTTTTACAAAAAAAAATCTATCTCCCTTTTTCTCATCTATCTTTTATTTTGATTTATCTATCCAGTATTTTGGGCTTATTGTACAAGAAACTATGTGATATATATAACCTTGTGTGTCTGATTTATTTCATTTAATGTTATGGTATCATGGGGTGATCATTTTCCTACAAATGACCCAAGTTTATCCTTCTTTATGGCAGGGTTGTTCTCCACTCTGTGTAAATACCATGTTTTCTTTATCCATTCATCTGTTGGTGGACATATAGGCTGCTCACAAGATTTAGCTGTTATGAATTCTGATATGAACATGTGTATGCATCTATCACTGTAGTATGATGTCTTTAACTCTCTTGGGACAATACCTAGAAGGGGAATAGCTGGGTTGAATGGAATTTCTATTTTTAGATTTTTGAGGAATTTTCATACTGATTTCTGTAATGGTTATAGTAGTTTACATTCTCACTAACGATGTACGTGTTTCTTTTTCTCTACAGCCTCACCAGCATTTGTTATTATTTGATTTCCTGAAGATAGCCACTTTCTGGAGTAAGGCAGACTCTGTGTTTTAATTTGCATTTCTCTAATGGCCAGAGATGTTGAACATTTTTTCCATGTATTTATTGGCCATTTATATTTCTTCTGAGAAGTGTCTACTCATTTCATTCATCCATTTTTTTGATTGGGTCTTTTATCTTGGGAGGTCTAATATTTTTGTGTTCTTTATGTAGTCTAGATATTATTTCTCTGAAGATAGCTGGCGATTTTTTTCCCCCATTCTGTAGGTTGTCTTTTCATTCTGTTGGTTGTTTCCTTTGTTGTACAAAAGGTTTTTAACTTGCTGTGATCCCATTTCTTGTGCAACTTGGGTACTGTTCAGAAAGTCTTTGCCTATCCCTATGTATTTAAGAGTTTTACTATTATATCTTCTAGCAGATTAAGTGTTTCTATTAACATTTAGATCTTTGATCCCTTTTGACTTTAGCTTACATAGTATGTGGTAAGAGATACATGTCTACATTCGATCTGCATGTGGACAGCCAGTTTTCCCCAAACCATTTATTAAAGAGGTAGCCTTTCCTGCAGTGTGTTTTTGGCCCCTTTGGCAAAGATCACATAGCTCAATGCATCTGGGTGGGAGGTTGAGACATATTTTCAGATACTGTGTGGGCTGGTTTTAATTGAAACTGAATTGGTATGATCCAAGTAGAGGCAAAAATATCCTTGAAGCTGGATCCACACATGGTGATAGTAGCTCTTAACAGAAAAGTTCAAGGTGTAATTTATATGTAGTAGAATGCATAGATCTTACGTGTACCATTTAAGTTTCAAAACTTGTATGCAAATAACCCATGATCTAATCAAGGTATAGAACATTTCTTTTTTAAAATTAAGTTTATTGGTACATTTTAGGTATACAATATGATGACATTCGTCATTAGGAATTAATAACTTTACATGATATATCTTGGTTCTTATTTTTTCCCCATTCCCCTGCCCTCCCTTCAGCCCCTTCATCCCTCCCTATTTACAAAGACTTTGTTTCCATTTTTTTCCTTTCCCTTCTTTCCTTTCCCCTACCCCTCTGAATTCCCCTTTCCCTTTAGACCTTTCCTCCTATTTCACATTATCTATTGGTATAGAACATTTCTATCAGTCCTGGAAATTCTTACCCATTTTTGGCTAATTCTTGCCCCACACTCCCCATGAATTAATTCTGCCAGTTTTAGAACTCCGTGTATTCACTCAGCATATAGTATTCATCTATGTTGCCAAATAGGTTAGTCGTTCATTCAGTTTTAATGGTGAAGAATATCCTGTTGCATGAAAATGTCACAACCTATCCATTTATCCACTGATGGACATTTGGGTCATTTCTAGTTTGAGGCTATCATGAATAAAATTTATGAACATTTGGGCACAAGTATTTTTTGTGATCATGTATTTCCGCTGTAAGGGAAACTTCTAGCAATAGAATATTTGGATCATCATAGATATGTATTTAATTTCATAAGAAACAGTTTTCCAAAGTGATTGTACCATTTTACATTCCCACCAGCAATGTACAAAAGTTCTAGGCATTTTCTTGGCGTTTAGTGTTATCAATATCTTTTAAGTCCTTTTGATAGGTATATAGATTTCATTCTGGTTTTGGATGGTAATCATCTGACTACGGTACTGTGATGAGCATCTTTTGATGTGCTTCCTGGCCACTCCCATCTCTTGTGATGTGTCTGACAAAATTGTGTCTCTCTGAATACAAGCCCTATGTCAGATATATGTATTGTGAATACTTTCTCCTGATCTTGTGCTTTCATTTTCATTTTCTTAATAGCAGAAGTTTTAAAGTTCTTATCTTTTCCTTTTATGTCTAGTCTAAAATTTTTGGTCACAAAGATTTTTTTTTCCTTTGGAAGTGTAACAGTTATAGTTTTTATGTTTAGGCCTATGAACAATTTCTAGTAATTTTTATTTATGGTGTGAGAGAGAGGTTAAAGTTTTTCTCCATTTAGATATTTGATTGTTGAGCATCATTTGAAAAATGTGTCCTTTCTTCATTGCATGACCTTGGCATCTTTGGTAAAAAACAAAAAAATTGACTAGGTATGTTTAAGTCCATTTTCTGGATCATTTATTTGGTTTTTATTGAGCTATTAGCCTATTCTTATGTAATATTATAATATCCTGGTTACTGTGGCTTCTGGGTAAATTTTTTAATCAGGTGGTAGAAGTCTTCCAATTTTATCTTCTCCAAAATTGCTTTAGTCTTTCTTCCCCCTTTGGATTTCCATATAAGCTTTAGAACCATCTCGTCAATTCCTACAAGCTGTTGGGATTTCACTGAATCACTCAGTCAAGTTGGGGAATATTAGCATTTTCCTATTTATAAACTTGGAATAGCTCTCCAAATATTTAAGTGTTTAAATTGTGGGTTTTGTTGTTGTTGTTTTTAGTTTTCAGTACACAGTCTTCACACACATTTTGGTTCTATTCATCACTAAGGATATCGTGCATTTTGTACTATTTTAAATATATTCATTCACTTCATTCTAGTAGATATGGGATGGATAATCTTACATGTCAACTTGCCTGGCATAAGGGATGCCCAGATAGCTGGTAAGTCATTTCCAGGGGTGTTTGTGAGCCCATTTCTGGAAGAGATTAATGTTTGAATTGGTAGACTGAGTAAAGAAGACCTGTCCTCAACAATGTGGGTAGGAATGATCCAATCCCTTGTGGGTGTGACTAGAACAGCAAGGCAAAGGATGGAGGAATTCGCTCTCTTCTTGAGCTGTGACATTTACCTTCTTCCCTCAGACACTGAAGTTCCTTGTTCTGGGCCTTCTGACTCTGAGATTTACACCAGCACCCACCCCTGTCCCCTGCTCCATTCTCAGACCTTAGTCCCTGGACTGAGAGTTACGCTATCAGCTCCCCTGCATCTCAGGCCTTTGATCTTAGGCTGAATTTTCCTCAACTTTCCTGGCTCTCCAGCTTGCAGACAACACATCACAGGACTTCTCGGTCTCCACCAAAATAGCATGAGACAATTCCTACTGTGAATCACATTGGTTTTGTTTCTCTGAAGAATCCTAATGCAACACAGAATCACCTAACTTTTGCATACTGAACTTGTATATGTCAAGAGCCCGAAGGAGCTGAGATTTTACTTCACTGTTAAACCAATGCATTTCATGAATGCTCACAGAAGACATGAGATCCTGGGTCAGAGACAAAGGACAGCTTGTTACTCACAGCTCACAGCAACAGCTGCAGTCAGTGTGGCAGTTTTTGCACTAGTTGCCCAACCTCTAGTTCCTAGCGAAAAGGACCAAGTGATGCCAGCATACACAACAGGTGCACTGCAGGACAGGAAACCCCAGCTTAAGGAACCCAATTCTATTAAGCAGTAAACTCACCTGAACATCTGCCCGAAAGGAGACATTATTTTTATTATACTGCATAGCAAGTAAACCTACCCTTTCCTCTAAGGGTAGACTGTTTGCTATCCACATACCCTTGAAAAGATAGCTTAGGCCAAAGGCAGTGAGTGCCTCTGCTTGCAGCTCAAGCAGAAGTATGTAGACCCAATTCAGCCCTACTAAGCTAGGGAGAATTTCTTTAAATTTTCCATGTACTTGGACAATCACATTGTCTGTGAATAAAGACTATTTTCATTATTCATTCGTTCATTTGTTCATTCATTTATGAGAGACAGGAACTCTCTGTGTAGTTCAGGCTGGCCTTGAAATCACTATGTTGCCCAGGCTGGCCTCGAACTCACAGGGATCCTCCTCCCTCAGCCTCCTGAGTACTGGGATTACAGATATACACCACCATGCCTGGCTTCTTGCTTTGAAATATCTATGCCTTTTTACTTTTCCAATAGCATTGCCTAGGACCTCCAGAATAATGTTTATTAAAAGTGGTGAGAGAGGACATGCTTGCCTTGCTCTCAATCTTGGATGGACTGAGTTCTTTCACTCTGAAAATAATGTTACTATAGGCTGGGTGTGGTGGTGCACGCCTATAATGCCAACACTAGCGAGGCTGAGGCAGAAGAATCTCTGTAAGTTTAAATCCTGCCTGAATTATACAGTGAGACCCTGTCTCAAAAATATATATATATTACTATACATATTTTCACACTACCCTTTCTCTGATAGGGTTTTCTAGTTTCCTGGGAATTTTTCCATGGTCACAGATTAAATTTTGTCAGATGCTTTTTCCAGAGAGATGACTTTTCTTTTAATTATTAATGTAATAATTTTCTTGCATGATAGGCAAGTGTTCTGCCCCTGAGCTGCACCTCCAGCTTTAATTTTTATAAAATGTTTAACTTATGCTATTTGTGGCGAGGCAAACCTATAACCCCGGCATTCTGGGAGGAAGAAGTAGGAGCCTTGCAAGTTGGAGGCCTGCCTGGGTTACATGCTGTGCCCCCACCTCCAAGTTTAACTTCACATTCCTGAAGTAAATCAGCCTGCCCGCGCCCCCTCCCTCACCCCAGGGTCTCTCTATGTAGCCCAGGCTGGCCTGAAATTGTGGCAATCTGCCTACCTCAGCCTCCTGAGTGCTGGGATTATAGGCATGGACCACTACCCTTGCTTGACTAATTTTTTTTCATGAGGACCACTCAAAGAGTGATACTAAATGTTTTAGCTACAATTTGTCTGTTTCTCTCACAGTGAAATGTCCACTGTGTCCTGCTTTCCAAACCCCTTTCCACACAGCTGTCCATGTTCCCATCATCCCTAGGCAACGAAGTTTTACAAAACGCACAAGGGCAGGCTTGAGAGAACTTCCGGGAACAGGTGGAAGCTTTCAAGATGTGGGACTGCGTAACCTTTGTTCCTTTTCTCCAGCCCCATTGTGATTAAATGTGAGTTAATGGATAAAGATGCTTGTTAGTTTTGGAACACTAGATAAAAATCTGTAACAGACCTAAAGTCCCAAAGTAAACTACTCAACTCCTTGTTTGCCCGGAACTGATGTTCCAGACACCACAATCTATAAAACAAGCTGCAAATGTCTGCTGACCATCAATACATGACAGTCAACCACTAACCTTTGTCCCCTTTTCTTTAATTCTATATGTTAACTTCCCCCTCAACCCCCTATAAGAACAGCCTTGGACTCTGAGCCAGTTGCCTCTCTAAGCTATTTTGCTTTGGGAGTGCCGTCTGGCCAGACTAATAAAGGTCTGTTTTACTTTCCAACTTGTCCAGTGTGTTCCTTCCCGGGTGTTCTTTGCTGCAGTCAGCTCCTCGGAGCGTTTGGTAAGGCCCTCGGTCTTACAAAGAGACAGAAGGAGAAGTCATCCATGTCCTGGGAGGGTGATGCACCCCAATCCCATGAAGCTCCCGAGCTGGGAACCCTACAGACATCCCTTGTGCATCTCTTCATCTGGCTGCTCATTTGTATCCTTGGAAACATCCTTTATAAGAAGCCCGGAAAGGTGTTTCCCCAACTTCCGTGACTTGATCCAACAAATTAACATGGCCTTAAAAAAAAGGGTCCTGGGGACTTGTTTGAACTTCCAGAGGCCTGGACTTGGCCGTGGTGTCAGAAGTGGGGGCAGCCTGTGGGACTGAGCCATCACCAGCTGGGGTCTGACACTCTCTCCGAGAAGCCGGCAGGAAACCCAGCTGGTGTCCTGCAGAACTGCTTCCTGGTAGAGAGAAATCAGCACCCCTTTTGGGGTCCCGAATGTGGGAAGAGAAACTAAGTCTTTTTCTCCTCTATATCTTGGAATCCTAGTTAAGATCTTGAAACCAAATCATTGTATTTTGCATCTTGACAGAGGTAAAAAGTTTTCTTTGCTCTTCCATGACTAAAAGTACTCTGCCCCTCCCATTGCCCTCAGTAAGAAGCCTGAAATCCTTATCATGGTTTATTTTCAACAAATCGATCCTTTGCTTCCAACCCCTCTGCCTGCAGCTTGCTGATGAGGATTCATCCTTCAGAACCCGGCCATCAATTCCTGAGAGTTCACTGCGAGTGTGTTCGCGTGCAGGTGTGTCTTAGGTTCCCAAGGAGGGGCGAATGCCAGGGTCTGTGGGGTACAGTTAACTTCCCTGGTGTCCGCTTCTATAGCACCCAGTAACCCCCACTTTTCCTTTATAATTTGAGATGGGGGTCTCAATGAGTCCAGGCTGGACTCAGACACCTTCCTCCCTCAACCTCCTGAGTAGCAGGGACTAGGAAGTGCGTCCCTTTTATAACAGCCATCTCTGTGAGCGGCTGCCTTATGACCAACCAGCAGCCCCAGTGCGTGGCTTACTGCCTGAGGTATCCCCGAAACGTGCAGAGATCGGCACAAAACCGGCCTCACTAAGACTGCTCAACCAAATGAAACAACTACCACGGAGAGAGCCACCCTGGGCTTCCCAGCCACGCCTGCACTGGGGAGCCTGCTTACTTCCTTTCCCGTGGAAGACCCTCAGAAGTGGCAGCTCCTCCCGCGGGCCAGGCAACACTGCAGCCAGTGTCAAACTATGCAGGGCACAGGCAGAACGCAACGGTGCCCAGAATGCGTGGGTGACCAGCCTCGGCCTCCCCCAAATACACATTATTGAGCCGAAGTCATTTGGAAGCAGAGGCAGTAGAGCTCTCAACCCTCTTGTATCTCTGGTCAAGCAGGATGTGGATTTACCAAGTCTACCTACCCTGCCTCCCTTCCCACCGGAAAACAAAGTGGACACTGCAGACATGGGGAGGCCCCTTGGGGCCTGGGGTGGTACTGGAAGGACCCACATCCACAAGCATTCCTGACTACCCTGCACGGTTCCCCTTGGTTCCCCTGGAGAGCTGCCTGTACCTTTAGACTCTCAAAAGTCCTTTTCCCTCTTCTAAAATCTACTCTCCTTAGCTGAAGATGTGGTATAAGCTAGGATGCACAGCCACCTCTTTGAGAACTACTCATTTCCTGGATGCCTCCCGAGTACTTAGGGTGTACATCTGTCAAGGGTGCGGTGGCGAACCCCTGCGATCCGAGCACTCTGGGAGGCAGAGGCAGGAGGATCAAAAGTTCCAGCCTGGCCTAGGGAATTTAGCGAAAGCCTGTCTGAAGAATTAAAAACGGGTGTGTGTGTGTGGGGGGGTATAACAGTGCAAAGGCCCTGGGTTAAATCCCCCAGTACTGCCAAAAACCAAACCAAACAACAAAAAAAAACGACTCAAAAAACCTGTCAATAAGTTTCTGTTTCTCTTCTTTGAAAATTCAGGGACTAATGGAGGAGGGAGAGAGAGGGTCCCCGCAACGCCAGAGAGTGGCTGGGGCCACTTGGAGGGGTCCCCTTGCGGTCGGAAGTCTGAGTCCCTGTCCTTTCCCTTTTCGCGCTGTCTCTACAGGTCTCGCCTCGGCGGCCCGGGACGCCTGGCCCCCACACTGCATCCACGTGTGCGCCATCAGGGCGCAGGCCCCACGCAGGCGACCTTGCCTGGGTCGCAGTCCCAGAGCGCGGCGTGGGCGGGAGGGAGCCCTGGGTCCCCAGGGTCCTCACCCGTGGGCGGTTCCGGACAAAGGACGCGAACACCGATCAGCCGGGTCCCAGCGCCTGTCTCCGAGCTGGTGAGACGCCCGCTCCGCAGGGAAGGAAGCGGCTGGGCTCCCCGACCCCCCTCGCACTCTGCCTGTGTCTGCCCTTCGCTGGCGCAGCCCCGGGCGCCGACCGCACTTCCTGCGCCTGGAAACCCCGAGCTGTCTCGCGAGGCGCCCGGCCCGCAGGGGGCCCTCGCGGTGCGTGACGCCCGCCCTCGCCAGACTCCGGCCTGATCACGCGGCGGTGTCCCCGCTCGGAGCCGGGATCCTGGCCGCGCCGACCCCGCTCAGACCCGGCCAGTCGCGAGGAGCCCAGGTGAGCCCGGGGGACAGGCCCGCCAAATTGTGGACACCCCCCAAAAAACTTCGCAAAGCAAAATGAAACCGTGGAGGGCTCCCTGGGTGTCTGGGTTGTACACTGATCATCTGTCGCGGGCAGGGATGTCCTTTGGGACAGGAGGATCGGCGCGGATTTCAGATAAAATGACTCAGTCTTTTGAACGATGGCCACGAGCCAGGATTGGTCTAGTGGCCAGCGACTAGTGCTATTCGGCGCGCGCAGCCTCACTGCTGCCCCTTGCGGCGAGGAGTGGTACAACTCCTGTGGGGACGAGAACCGGGAGTCCCTTGGGCTTGAAAGGAGGGGGCTCTGCGTTGGGCGCTTCCACCTGAGGAGACCCTGCTTCACCTTCCCGCCAGTGCCCGTCCCCATGGGCTCCAGACCGCTCTTTATTACACAGGACACCCAGGACTCCCAGTACTCCCAGGCAATGACCTGGTTGGTAGGTTTTAACCTGCTTTTTGGAAATTGAGGTCAGCACGGGTGGTGACGTCTTATTACGCTGCACGATGAAAAGATCCTGCAGAAACGGAACACGTTTAAGTCATTTTTAAGTGTAGCAGGTGCAGTTCCTGGCGTATAATAGTGATTGCACACATGGTTACAACTAGTAAGGGACACAGGACATATGAGCTTGGAGTGCAGGTAACTTGATAGCTGGGCAGAGCTTGCCTCAGACCTAGCTATTAGTGAGGCTGAGGCAGGAGGATCAAGTGAACCCAGCCTGAAGAACATAGCGAGACCCCATATCAAACAAAACAAACAAACAACAACAAAAACCAGGAACCAGGAAGGGGTAAATAAGAGACAGGAACCTCTAATGTGGTGCCATGGAAACCCTTTGAGCATGGAGTGCTGTTGTCTTTTTGCAGATGTTCACTCTTCCTCAGAAGGAATCCGAGGCACCTACCACCTGTCTGGGCTCAGCTACCTCAAAGGACTCGGCCTGTAGTTTCGGGGATGGCCTGGAAGGAGAATGCCCCAGAAAACCAGACCAGAAGCTGTTGGGCCTCTATGGAGTGGGGGATCCCATTGCCATGTTCTCCTCAGACAGCTCCTGCCTGTCCTCCAGAGGCAGAGTCATCAAATGGTTCTGGGACTCAGCGGAGGAGGGCTACAGGACCTACCACATGGACGAGTATGATGAGGACAAGAACCCCAGTGTGAGTGAAGTGCCACCCCACTGGGACCCGGGAGGGAACTGCAGGGTGGGTACCTCACATTGACCCCCATGGAAGCATCTAATTTACCCCCAACTGATAGGAGTTATTGCCCTCCGGCTCAGGAGGCTTCTGCTGTAGCTCAGACAGCTCCAGTGTATCGGGCCTCCTATACTACATGGGATAGGAACTCTTTGTTTCCTGCTGCAGTGCTGGGACATAGGACCCTGATTTGTGAGGGAGGAACTGAAGAACCGTAGAATGCTAACATATGGATTCTGACCCACAATGCCAACTTTTCAACTTGGATTTTGTGTGTGTGTGTGCAGTGCTGAGCACTGAACCCAGAGCCTTGCGCAAGCTAGGCAAGTGCTCCACCGAGCCACATACCTGGCCCCAGGTGTCAACTCTGGACCTGGAATATAACTCAAGGTCACAACTGTTTCACTTATGGGTTGTGTGTTATTGAATTAGTTACTTAACTTCTTTGAGTCTCAATTTATCTCTAGAGTAGGATAATAATGCCCTGCAGTATGGAAGAGTCAAGATGAAATGAGATCAAGTATATGATGTTATTAGCACATGGTTTGCTACATAGTATACTCAATAAGTGGTAGCTGCTTTTATTATCTGTCCCCAGTGTTATAAGCTATAGTTAGAAATACCTTTACAGGTCAGAGCTGCACCTTTTCAGTCTTTACTTGCTGAGCATCTTCCCTGTCTTGGCACTGTTCTAGGTCCTGGAACAAAAGCCAAGTTCCTATCTGGTTTGTTTGTGGATGGGAGAGTAGGGCATGGAGAGGGTAGGGGACTCTGATTCACATGGCTCCTGGTGGACAGGCTTCTGTCCACGTGGGCTCCTCCACAGGCTGCCACAGGACACGGAAGCTGGCTTCTTCCAGGGCAAATTACCCAAGAAAGAATGAGTGGCCTGGAGTCCCCAACGTGGGGGCCACAGCTTCTTTATAACCTAACCTCAGAGGGGATGTCCCATCACTTCCGTGCATTCTGTTCACCAGGAGCAAGTCACTAGGTGGAGCTCACGATCTAGAGGGTGATAATAGGAGAGAACCAGTGGGGACTTGGCTGAGGCTGCTTTCCACCAAGAGTGAACTGGGTTCTGTCTGGGGAAGAGCATTCCAGGCAGAGGGAGCAGCAAGCGAAAAGGGCCCTGGGTGGAACCATAGTGGATGAGGTCACGGGACAACAAAGGGACTGCTGGGACTGCAGGGTCATGAGGCGGGGGTGGTAAGAGATCCTGAAGGGAGCCTTCTCATTTGAGACCACATGGGATGGGAGTGTTTAAGGGAGGAGCTATAGGATCTGATTCCAGTTGGGTTTTTTTTGGTACCGGGAATCAAACTCGGACCCTGTACTTTGGAGGCAGACAGCAGTACCACTGAGCTAAATCCCCAGCCCTGATTCCAGTTTTTAAAGGGTGGCTTGGACTCTCTATGGAGACCAGATGACATGGGAGGCAGTGGGCAAGAGAGGAGGTAGGGAAGCAGTGCAGTGAGCTGGGCCAGGACCAGGGTCTCAGTGGTGGGTGAAAGTGGCTGCACTGTGTATTTTGAAAGTAGAACTATCAGGACTGCAGATGCATTGGTTGTGGGAAGAAGAGCCTACCAGGAGTCAGAACCTCAGCTCAGTCAACTTCTCCGTCTTCATCTCTATTTCTTCCTTTGCTGCCCCCATAACTCAGCTACCAGGACTGAGCTGTGTGTGAGGCCTGCACCAAATCGCTCTGTAAGGGAAAGAGTCCTATTCTACCTCTCACAGAGAATACATGCTTTATAGTAGCTGGGTACAATGGCGCACCCCTGTAATCCCAGCACTCAGGAGGCTGAGGCAGGAGGATCGCCATGAGTTCACAGCCACCCTAGAGTACACAATGAGTTGAAGTCTAGCCTGAACTACATAGTAAGACACTGTCTGGAAAAAATAAAAAAGCTTTATGGGGTGGAGATCAGGCGTTGTATGATGTTGTTCAGATCTCTGAGGGCGGCATTGACACTGACATAGATCCATCGCCACCCTCATTTCTGTGCCTCTCGTCCCCAGGGCATCATTAACTTGGGCACCAGTGAGAACAAACTCTGCTTTGACCTGCTGTCCAGTCGGGTGAGTTTGCGGCCCCCGCTGGGTAGCTTCTTCTGGAAATGCTTCCCTGACCAGAGCCTGCCGTGGGCCTCCGTGGCCCTGGGCTGGGAACCAGGTTTCAGGGTGGCCTTGGGGATGGCTTCCTGTGTGATCCTGGATGAGTCATTTCCGCACTCTCATCCCAATTCTTCACTTCTTCGAGCTCTGTCCCTTCTTTGGTCCCCCTGCTGGGCCGAGTCCCTGATCTCAGAGGAGGTTCCACTGGCGCTGTGTGTACTTAACAGCTGACTCCACGGGAGCCACATGGCCCAGCTGTAACTTTGCCGATTCCCATACTGTAAATGGCTGATGCTGAGCTACTGGTGTGATGTTCCTGGGTGACAGGGTTGGAGGAGAGGGATGGTGGCACAGGTTGTGTGATATTCCCACCAGGTCACCATGTAGACAGAAATAACCTTGGGGGCACTGGTAATTGTCCAGTGTGGTAACAAACAGGAAGTGGTGATGTTTGCGTGCTATTCCCTTTGCTTTTGAGAGAGTTTACTTAGTTGTCAGTTCATATTAATTTTTAAAAACCGTTGTTCCCAACACAGCTTGCAAACTCCCTGACAGTTTCACAATTAGATTTCTTGAGCAGGTGGTTGTTTCTCAAGGCTGCAGTGTTGGAGTTGGGTTTGTAGAGACAGCAGTCCTTCAGCTCCAAGGAACATCTTTCCAAAGGAGAAGAGTCTGGAAGCTCCTGCCTCTGCCAGGGTGTGGGGTTGAGCCAGGCCTGCAGGAGGACAATGTCCTGAGCTCCTCCGGAAGCTGGAGCCCAAACTGAGGTGACAGCAACTGATTCAGACCCCCACGAGAAGCTGGGTAGCCCAATCCACCAGCACTGCCTGCTGCCCACCCCTCTGACTTTCTAGGTGATAGTGTTCTATGAAGAGCAATGGACCTGCAGTTGAAAGTTCTGGATGTGCACACCTGTAATCCCAGCACTGTGGGAGGTTGAGGCAGGAGGATGGCAAGTTTGAGCCCAGTTTGAGCAACTTAGTGACTTAAAACCTTGTCTAAAAAGAAAGAAAGAAAGAAAAGGAAGGGGGCTGGGGTTGTAGCTCAGTGCAAAGGCTTTGAGTTCAATGCCCCGAGTCACCAAAGAACAAAACCAAAACCAAACCCCCAAACACCTGGGTTTTAGAGTTGCTAACTGTTTGACCTTGGCAGAGTCCCTCACTTTCTTTGAGCCTCAGTTTCCACATCTGCTAAATGGGCAGAAGGCCCTGGTACTGTATGGGTGCAGACAGCAGTGCTAGCCCCAAGCCCCGCTCTCCCCTCCCTGTCCGCAGCTGAGTCAGAGCGACATGCTGGGGGTGGAGCCGGCCCTGCTGCAGTACCCTGACTGGAGAGGACATCCCTTGTGAGTAGCTGCCCTAGGCCGGGGCTCTCAGCTGGGGTGGTTTTGCTGCCCGGGGATGAAGGCCATGCGTGGACGCCTTTGGACCGTCCGATCTGAGAAGATGCTGCGGTCTCAGTAGAGAGAGCCAGGGATGCTGCTGGTGGTACAGTGGCCACGACAGAGCACTGTCCAGACCCAGGCAGCAGTAGCAGCAGGCTAAAGGCCCAGTCTTGGAGACCTGGTGGTCATGGGTTCCCTGCCTGTCCCAGCCTCATCTCAGGGGTCCACCTTGACTTCCAGCACCCTGGATCTGAGGCCTGGGGGGTGTCTGGCAAGGAGCCTGTCACTGGTCCCTCGGGGCTTTAGAGAAGCCAGAGTCGAGGTTGGTGGAGCCGGCTGAGCCGTTTCTTCCTGTTAGAGTCAGGTGGTAACTAATCCTAGTCCTAGTGTGGACTGGCCACGCACTGTTCTAAGTAAGGGCTGCGTAGCCCAGCAGGACTTGACCCCAACCCCGATTCCAAAGCACCTATTCAGTTTGTTTTTCTATTTCTGTTTTTATCAGCACATGTTTGTGGTACATAATGATCACATTCTTTGTGGAGAGTTGGCACGCCTACATCACACATCTTAGTTCTTTTCTCATCTCTTTTCTCTCCCCTTTCTCCATTTCTTGGTCCTCTTATCTTTTGCAAAAGATCTATTTATCTTTTATTTTGCTCTTTATTTATACTTTGGGCTTCTCATATAAGAGAAACCATGTGATATTGAGGCTTGTGTGTCTGATTTATTTCACTTAACTTTACAATCTCAAGGCCAAAGTACACATTTTCGAAACACTGGGCTTGGGCATAGACTCAGCCACTTACCAGCAAGAGACTTGATTCTTTAAACCTCAGTTTCTTTATCTGAAATGGAATTAAAACAATAGTAGTTACAGTATAGCATCCTCAAAATAACATCTATGTAAGGCAAATTTTTAATAAATGATAGCAATAAGAATTATGTTACAATTTAATAATGTTTATTATTATCATCAGCCAGCCCTACATCTAGTGTTACTTTTTTCAGTTTTATGAGAGTCTCACTATGTAGTTCAGGTTGGCATTGAACTCACCATGCAGTCTAGGCTGGCCTCAAACTCACAATTCTCCTGCCTCAGCCTCCTGAGTGCTGAGATTATAGGTGTGCACCGTGATGCCAGGCTGGTGTTACATTTGTTACCCCCAAAGTCCCCAGATTAGGCAGGGTTGAGCATCACAGAGCCACTCAGAATGGAACTACAGTATCAGAGCATGGGGTTTGTTGTCACTGAGCTAAAATACTGACACCCACAACTTAAGAAGACAGGTTTATTTGGGCTCGTGGTCACCTGGCTCCAAGGCAGGCAGGCATGGCAGAAGGACCCAGAGGAGGAAAGCTGCTTACCTCATGGCTGCCAGGAATCAGCGAGGGAAGGGAGGAGCCAGGGAGGGAGATAGACCCTTCGGGCCACACCCCCAGGGACCAGGCCCCGCCTCCTAACAGCACATACAGCTGAGTTCATCTGTGGGTGAATCCACCATAAATACAGTGACCCCATGATTTCCTCACCTTCTGAAAGCCCCACCTCTGAGCACATGAGCATGGGGCGGGGCTCTGGATCTAGGGTGGAATAGTGGGGATGTGAGAGAAGCGGTGCCCCAAGTGAAGACAGGTCCTGACCGTACTCCCCATGTAGGAGGTAGGGAGGAGCAATGCAGGGCTGCTCCAGGGTGGACTGAAGGTTGGGGACCCTCTGGCAAGCACTGTCCATCTTTCTCCAGCCTCCGGGAGGAGGTGGCCAACTTTCTGTCTTATTACTGCAAGAGCCCGGCACCCCTCAAACCAGAGAATGTGAGTAGCCCCCTCCTCTGCTCCTTTGCCCTGCTCCCCAGTTTTGGGCTGACCAGGGGTGTGGTGGGGTCGGGGTCTGTTTTGCACTCATCTTGATTTGTTTCAAAGTGGCCTGAGGATGCCTCCTGGCTTCTTCCCCCCAGCTACACTTAGAGCTGGGCTAAGATTTCTGCCCCAACACTGGGCGTGTGTGTGGGCCCTCCCGGCCCCTCACCTCAGGCCTCAGGAGTGACTCGCTCCCTGGGTCTTGCTTGCTTGAGCCCCAGCAGGGACCCCGTCAGTGAGCATAGCTGGAGGTCCGGCCTCTGTGGAGACAGAGCCTGAGGGCCCTGAGGGGGGACCTGCTTCTCCTTCTGTGCTGTCCTGGGACAGAGGCTGTGGGTGCTTCCTCCCTACTGAAACAGTCAGCTTTGTCCCCTGACTGTCACCCCAGGTAGTTGTCCTGAATGGCGGTTCCTCTCTCTTCTCGGCTCTGGCCACAGTGCTGTGCGAGGTGGGCGGTAAGTGACTCCAAGGCCTGCTCTGTCCTGTGTCTGTGGTGGCAGTGCTGGCAGTGTCCCCAGCTGCCTGGCCTCTAGGACTGTGTGCCTTTGCCTTCAGCTGTAATAGGAGATCCAAGACTCAGGCCCTGAGATGAACGGCTGGGCAGCAGTCCCAGGGGGTTAGTGTGCTATTAGCATTCTGGGCTTTCTCTCCGAGAGCACTTTCCTAGAAATGACTCAGAAACCCATTCCTGGTGCAGTCCTCAGGCCCAGGGCTCTGAAAAGCCAGGGTTGGCTCAAACCAAACATGGTTCACCCCGCATAGCTGGAGGAAGGCCTGCCTTCCTGCTGATCCTTCCTGAAAAATCTGGTTTTCTCTTAGCAAGAAAGAAAATCCAAATAGCTGTTGAGTAGTCAGCCATCAGGGCCTGCCCCAAAAGGCATGGCGAGCCAGGCATGGTGCCACATACCTGTGATCCTAGCACCCTGGGAGGCTGAGGCAGGAGGATTGTAAGTTTGAACTCTGCCTGGGCTATTTAGCAACTTAGTGAGACCCTGTCTCAAGAAAAAATTTTTAAAAGGGGTGGGGATGTAGCTCAGCGGAAAGGCCCTAGGTTCAGTCCCCAGTCACACAAAACAAAAATAAGACATGGTGGTATAAGAGCTGATCATGGTGAAGGGATACTGGGTATAAGGAACACAGGCCCACTCATGATAGCATAACTAATAATGGTAAATATGAGTAACATCAGCTGACCATATGTGGTACTAGCTCCAGGCCTTGGCATAGGGCTGTACGCATAGGACATCTTTTAACGCTCTCGGCACCCTAGGAGGATGGGTCTAGGATGGATATAGCTGTCCCCATTTTTATTGATGAAGCAGTTGAGGCCTAGAGGTTAGGTAACTTCTCAGAGTCACACGAAGAGGCTGTCTTTGGAATTTGCACTGTAAAGTTCTATTCTGAGATTTCATAGTTTCCTTACCCATTCTAGAACAATTTGGAGCAGGGATCCTCTGAGTTTCAGTCCCTTGGTCTATAAAGTTAGGGTTTCAGAGGTGCACACCTCAGACAGCAGAAGTGAGGAACAGACAAGATGCTGATAAATGGCTAGCATGGGTCCCACACCGAGGAAATGTTACCTATTAATTATAGATGTCCCCAGCTTGCGATGCTTTGATTTAGGATTGTTTGACTTTATGGTGGCATAAAAGTGATACACATTTAGTAGCAACTGTACTTTTTTTTTGGTACTGGGGATTGAACTCGGGTCCTTGTGCTTACC